GGGGGTTGGCTGGGTGGGGTCAGGAAGAGAATGGTAACACGAAGGATGTGGGATGAAGGAGGTGGCATGAAGGAGGTGGCATGAACGAGGTGGCATGAACGAGGTGGCATGAAGGAGGTGGCATGAACGAGGTGGCACGAAGGAGGTGGCACGAAGGAGGTGGCACGAAGGAGGTGGCACGAAGGAGGTGGCATGATGGCATGGCAAGTCTCACCGAGGGTATGTATTTCCGCGCACCACCTTCTGACCGTACTTGCGCCACCGGTACCCATCCTCCACCGCCTCCTCCTCACGTGCCACGCGCACCACCACTTTCGCACCCTTGCCTCCACCCTGCTCCTCACTCCCTTGCCCTTCGCTCTGCCCCTCCCCCACTCCTTGCTGCTGCTGCTGCTGCTGCTGCTGCTGCTGCTGCTGCTGCTGCTGCTGCTGCAAGCTGTCGGCAGCAGCGATTGAGCATGGCTGGGAGGTCAATGCAGGTGGTGCACAATGCCTGCACAGGAACAACATCGGCAATCAGCACACACAAACTTGAATACCCATAAAGTACAGACGCACACAGGTACAAATGTTTTGAGACAGTCTTTCAACCCGGACGAATCACCCCATAACTCCCACTCCTCACCTCTTGCTGCATGCCTTGGATAATCTCCTTTCACCCGCCTTGCCCTCCCCCTTCGTCCTTCTCTCCTCCCTCCGCACACGTTTCAGCCCTCTGCCTCCGCCCGCAATCGTCCCTTCCTTACAGCGTGCCTCCATTGCAGTCCCAGGCTGCTGAGTGTGCATCCCCACCGCGCTCCCACCACCTGCTCTCCCATCGCCACACGCCTGCTCTTGCATCCCGTGCAGTTTACCCTCCTCCACTCCTGCACCTTCCCTCCCGAATGCCCCACCACCATCCTCCGTTCCCATGCTCGCTCCCACCTCCTCCGCCCAGCTGTCATGCACGGGCACTTGGGAGGGCACGTGTGCGCCATGGAGGTGGGTGCAAGGGGCGCTGGTGCGCGCACAAGGACAGGGCGCAGCTGCATGCGGGTGCTGCGCGTGAGTGTCTTGTCGCGATGTAGCTCCTGGAGCCGCTTGGCCCCATGCTGACGCGGTGGCGAGGCAGAACACAAGCTGCAGGGGGAGAGACGGGCGGAGGAGATGAATGTACGCACAATGCCCCTAACTGAAGCAGGCGATGCGAAAGGCAAGTGCGTGAGACATGGGAGAAGCGAAGAGACAAGGAAAAAGGGCAGTGAATTTGTGTGTGTGTGAGCGTTAAGTGAATCAAGAGAGAGGGGGAGGGCAAGGAGTGGGGGGGAGGGGGGGAGGTTGGGTTGGAGAGGGGTGGGATTCATGGGAAAGGAGGGATGGCGAGAGCGGAGAGGCGTGACGCACATGAGAGGGCGGCAGTACTGGTGACGCGAGCAGCAGCTCAGGGCTGACGCCCAGCGGCAGCACCAGGCACGGCGGGCTCTCATCCCCTGCCGCCTCTGCTGCTGCCGGCCTTGCCTCGCTGCCCCGCTGTGCGAGCACCGCTGGTGGCGCCTGGGGCAGTGCATGGCGAGGGCGGGGAGGGGGGGCGGGCGAGTGGAGCATGTGAGAGGACGGCAGACACATGGTCGGGCAGGGCGAGGGGCGCACAGGGACGGCATGGGAGCGGAAAGAGAGGAAGCCATGGGAGAGCGTGGCCTAGTGCAAGCAGCACAGAAGCAGGTTGCGGGGAGCAGCTGAAGAGCACGAGAGCGGTGGTAAGGTGCGCACAGCGGCGCTCACCTGAGCGACGCCCATGCTGTGCGCGACCCATTCGTGGCCCCTGCCTGCACGCTGCTCATCCCCAGCACCACCTGCGCTCTTCCGCTGGGGAGAGGCGCTGCCACAAGTCGCTGACATGCGGGCTGTTCCATCAAGCGCTGCTAGAACCGCGCCGTCCTTCCCCTGCGCTCGCGCTCGCTGCTCCTGCTGCTGCGCGTCATGCGTGCAGAGCACCTCGCCGCCATCCGCGCGCCCCTGCATCGCACCGCCCTGCACTGCCGCTGCGGCACACGACGTGCTGTCTCCACCCCCTGCGCCACACGCAGCGCTGTGAACGCATGGCCCGTTGCACGGCAGTGGCGCCACGGCGTGTCGCTGCTGCTCCTCCTCCAGCGGCAGCCGCACTTCGCCGTGCGGCCCGCGCGCCGCTACCGCCTGCCCTTGCCCCTTGCCTTCTCCGCCTCCCGGGGCCGTCGCCGTGGCAGACGCCAGCAGCGCGCGCAGCCGCTGTCGCCATGCGCACGCCGCGCACGACGCCTCGCGTCCGCAGCCGTGAGGCGGATCGCAGTTGGTGGCGCAACCCGGTACGGCCGCGCTAGGCGCGTGCGTGCTGGCATGCGACAGCACTGCCGGCGCCCCAAGCACTGTTGAGCCTGTCGTATTGACTCTGCACGCCATGCCATCAGCAGTGGGGGAAGGCAGGGAAAGGGGGAGTGGCGCGGGGCAGGAGCGAGCGGAGGAGTCGAGGGGCGGCAGGGATGGGCCTCGCAGGACGAGCGGCGGAAGCGAGAGGTGGCGGAGCGGGCATGGCGGAGAGCTCGACACATCGATCGCGCGATCCGGGGCCTGCGTCTCGTCAGCCGAGGGGAACGATGGGAGCGCGGCGCCGCAGAGGGCGCTGCGATGATGGCGGCAGTCGAGGGGCGACATGGGAGCGAGCAGGGGGACGGGCAAAGGGGGAGCAGCGGGCGCGATGCAAGGCATGGAAGAAGGTGGAGTGAGGTTCAGGAGAAGCTCGGTGCGAATCACTAGGATCAAAGGACGGGAAGTGGTAGCTGATTGAAAGCCCGCTGATCGGGTTGTTTGCAGTGATAGTCGTGAAACGCGCCCTTCTCATCAAACCCTGCAGCCACTATCACTACAGCTGCCTCAAGGTTGCTAAGAAGGTGTCTCAAAATCTTCGGTCCACGCTGGATCTAGGCGGTCGACGTGGACCAGTCCACCAAACCACCACGGACCCGAGCGTGGACCGGAGCGTGGACCCGCGTGTTTTAACAACGGAAAAGGACTGTACTGGGGAGTCTTGACTGGTTCGGCGAGCTGGTCCACGTCGGACTCCTGAACAGTCGTCTTTTCACGAATAGTTGCGAACTCACCCTACAAGTGTCGCAAAACTTGACAGCGCGCGATGGCGGATTGCCCAATGACATGAAGCCCTTACGAGTCATAGTAACCTAGTGTCGGGAAGAACACGCAGTGTTCTCGCCTTCACGCCACTGTAGATTTCATCAGCGGACCAGTCCGAAGCTGGTTCGCCAGTACGGACTCAACCTGGTCCGGCGGACCAGTCCACGGTTTTGGGGTGCAGCATTTCCAAGAGCGGACCGGCTCGCAGACTCGTCGGAAGTGAGACACGTCCTAAAAGATGAAATGTGAGCAGATTCGGGGCCAGAAAGGCGCTCTGCTTCCAAACCAACCCAGATTCCGCACTGCCAGTCTCCCCTGCCGTGGTTTGATGGTTCACGACGAAGGCACCTGGAAACTAGGATTGGGGCAGAGAGGTCTGACCGTTGACGAAATTGCCACGCTGCCATGCCAGGACTCTGATCGCCAACTCTGCTGGAGTGAGCCTGAAAAAAGTGTTTTCGCTCAACCGGCAACCTCGCAGATACCTTCACGGCCAACACGACGAAGCCTCTTCACCTGAATTTCAGTCATGCCACCGTCAAAGCGACACCAGTCAACTCACAGCCGCTTGTAAATGACGGGTACTCGTTAAAGTGCTGGATATTGGGCTCGTTAATGTTGAGTGAAATAAACATGGGAAGATACAGAAAATGTATGACAGTTGTGTAAAGCATATAAATGGAGCTGCAACATTAACACCAAGGTTCGGGCTATTTTCAAGGCTGCGTTCTGTTGGCGCGTTAGTTATGCGCGCACGAGTGCACTCAGAGGCTTCCGCGCAGGAGAGCACCCCCCAAAAACTACCACGAAGTTATGGCCCAGGGTGTTTACGCGGGGGCAGGCCCAAAATTGTGGAGAGCAACAGCGCTGACCTCGGGTGAACTTTTTTGGCAAACAACAAATGGGTACAACCAAACACCCAATCGCCAGGCACCTCAAAACCCAACCTATGCACCTGAGTGGGTGGCAACCGTTGGGTGGTAACCGTTGGGTTAAGAAAATAGTCGAAATCGTACTTTTCCCGGGCGTTTTAAGCTGCCCCGCACAGCTTGTGCGCCCCTTTAACGCCGGGAGACGAGCGGATGGGACTCGCACAGGCTGATTGGGAGGTTTGCCTGTGAAACACAAGGTCCTGGAATATTCGAGCGCACAGGCAGTACAGCGTTTTTGCGCACGCACGAGTAATGCGCGAACAACTTCCGCAGCAGAGGTTCGGGTCACAATAACGATTCCCTCCGGCCCCAAGCCTTGTCGCGCAAGTTCTCGTATATTCTTAGTTAGGGTGACAAACAGGCTATGCGCCAACAGAACGCAGCCCAAAACGTACAGGAAGTCTCGGGTCAGCTTCATACAACAAGGCAACGTTCGGTTGGGCTGCGTACGCAGAACAGAATAGTGATATACGCATTCAGGAAGTGAACGCATATTGTATTTAGCAAATCGCGCATGCGCTCACTCTCTGTACTGTTTTGCTTAGTGCATTTTTACTCAATTGTACTATGACAGAATGAACTCAACATAAAATAAAGGCCTAGGCATATTATAGCGAGGAAAGCTAACTAGTTGAAGAGGCTGGGGGAAGCGAAAGTCTCGAGTCGCGCCAGAGTCTGAGAGTTGTGCGGCGAGCGCTGATTCGCAGAGCACGTTTTCGAGTTCAGGATTCCAACTTGGGCCTTTGAAATTCGAATTATTTCGCACTAGCATAGATGATACGTTCGTTTTCTGACGAACGTGTTAACGAAGGCTGTACGTTTTGAGCGGGAGAGCACGCGTGAGGCGCTCGGCCACAGAGCCCCAGCAGCACTCTCGACGACCGAGTCGACGTGTTGCGCTGCGCCCGTCGGACGGCCGTCATGGCAGCCGCGCTCGCAGCACCCTGCGCTCTGCCCGAGCCTTCCCCCGCGGATCTGTGCGCCCTGCGCCGGCAGCTCGCCAGCAGTGAGACGGCGGCGGCGCTGTTGGCGCGGGTGCGGGCGCGCGGAGAGGCGCGGGGGGGCGCGCGGACGGGGTTCAGCGTGGTGGACGAGCACCGGGGCGTGGCGGAGGGGGGCAGCGGGGGAGTGACGGAGGTGGTGGGCGGCAGTGGTAGCGGCAAGACGGAAGTGCTTATGCTGGTGAGGGGCGAGCGGATGTGATGACAGGGAGGCAAGCGTATCGGTAGAGAAGAGGGGAGAGGGGAGGGCCGAGCAGATGCAAGGGAGCAACGAGGTAGATCAGATGTGCGCGCAACAATACTTGCTGTGCCGTCACTTGGGTATGCCAATCCGAGAACGCTCATGTGAAACGCTTAAAACCCGCGGGCCAAGAAGTTCAACCTTAGGAAGGTTGGTTGGGGCGAGCAATGCAATTGGCCAAGATTTGGGGTGTCAGGGCCAAACTCAACCCAAGTTAGAAAGGTTGAACCAATTTAGGCCTTCTTGGCCCTTGCCTCATGCGTGTCTCACCTCACCATGGCACCGTCCCCCGCCTGCTCTCCATCAGCTGGCAGCGGCGCATCTCCTGCCTCTGCCCCCACGCCCCGCCCACCCACCTGCCGCTGCTGCTGCTGGTGGTGGCAGCAGCGGGTGGGAGGCAGCAGCAGCGGGGGGAGGGGGAGCGGTGGTGGCGTACATGGACCTGGACGCGCGCTTCCCCATGCCACGCTTCATGCTCCTGCTGCACGCCCGCGCCATGCAGGTGCGTGGTGGCACATGCACAGGTGGGTGGGGGGTGGTGTGAAGCAATGCATGGAAGTCAGCAGGAGGTTGTTGGTTGTCCCCTCTGTTCGTGGGCGCTCTCCTCTCGTCTCCCTCTCACTCGACCTCTTTCCCCCATTGCTATCCCCCCCGTGTGCTGCCCATGTGTGTTCATCCGTCCGTTTTCCTGTCTGCTCTTCAGTGCGTGCTTGATGCCCATGAGTGCTCGCCACCACAAGCATGTGAGCAGCAGCAGCAGCAGCAGCAGCAGCAGCAGCAGCAGCGTGTGGAGAGCTTGGTGCAAGCAGCGCTGAGTCGTTTCCATCTGCTGCCATGCCGCAACACATGCCACTGGCTCGCATGCCTCAAGGTGCACTTTACACCACTCCACGCCACACCACACGACACCATACCACACCACACCATGACATGTCATGTCATGTCATACCCCCCCCCCCCCCCCCCCCCCCCCCCCCTCCCCCCTTGTTTTGCCATTCCCCCCCTTCTTCCCATGCCTTCATGCACTTCCTGACTTGTCTGCATACCCACTGTGTGCTTCCACTCTCCTCTCTCCTTTCGTCCTGCTCACGCTTTCTGTATCCCAACATACTACTCACGCACATCGACATCCTTGCACTGCCGCGCTCCCCCCTGCCTGTGTGCCCTGCGTGCAGTCCGTGTCGTCCCTGCTGCCCGTGTGGCGCGCACAGCAGCACGAGCACCTCCCTGCAGTGGGCAACAGCAGTGCAGGGGTCAATGCAGGCGTGGGGGCAGGGGCGAGTGATGGCCATGCGGGGGAGCAGGCGGAGAGAGTGGAGTGCGTGGGGGCTGGCGAGGCGAGTGGCTTGCAGGGCGAGCAGAGAGGGGGTGCAGGGGAGGTGGCACTGCAGCATGGGGGTGCCCAGGTGGCGCAGTGGAGTTGGTTTAGCCCTGCAGCCAGTGCAGGGCAGCAGAGCATGTCGTGTCATCTCACCCACTGCTCACCTCTGCTGCTCATTGACTCGTGTGTGCCTCTCCATGCATGCCACCAACACGACCTTTTTCTTCAACCATTATGCACTCCATGCAGTCCTACTATGTTAGCCTCTTGTCACTCTTCTTCGACTTGCTGTAGGTTAGGGATAAGGAACTCAGGCTCGCAGCTCATTCTAGTCACCATGACTCAATTGAACTCACACGTGGTTTTCTCCCTGGCTCCTCGTCCCTCCTCCCCGTCCTGCATGACCATACCAGCATAGGAGCCTTCTACTGGTTGGACCGGGCTGTTCCTCCTGCCCATGCGCCAAGGTCTGCATGCCATGCCGCTGCATCACTTGCATTCCATCCACCTGCGCATTCAACCCCTTGGATAGCCCATACGCCACCAATGTCGTTGCGCTCATGCACCCCCCTCTGCTCATGCTTGCGCCCATTCGCCGCCTGCAGTCTCACACAGCCCCACAGTCCGACTCTCAGTCTCAAACCGACTCTCAATCTCCTCCACGCTGCCGTCTCATTGTGATCTCCTCCTGTGCTCCCTCCTCTCGCCAGCGACCACGGAGGCAAGCTGCTGACGTGGGTGACAGCAGCAGAGGTGGCAGCACGGGAGCTGCAGCAGCTGTCACAGTCGCACAGGGTGGCCGTGGTTGCCGCCCGCACCGCCATCTTTGGTGCTCGCTCCCTCCCCCCTGCTGCTGCTGCTGTTGGAGCAGCACGTGAGCCATCGAATGTGCCAGGCGAGGCTGCTGCCCCCGTGGTGCCACTGCATGTGCCCCCACGCGAGTACATGCCCGCTGCATGGCAGGTGCGTGCGGGGTGGAAGGGGCAGTGAGTGCTGCGCACTGTGTGGCATGTGACAAGGCTGGCAGCACCGTTCATGCTGGCATCTAGACGCGCTGCCAGCACCCACTTACTCGCATGCTGGCTCATTAAGCAAACAACCGGAGGGAGCATTTGGTGTGATGTGGGCGTGCAAGAGTTGAACGTTGCCGAGAATCTCTTATCCGTGTGGGAACCCTCAGATGGCCGCTTATGTTGCAATGAGCAGCACCATGAGCCTTATGCACCCTGATTGCTGTGACCGCTCCACTTTCTGTGCCTGGAAGGGGTAGGCATGGAGCCCGGCAACACCTCCTTACTGCATGCGCAGCACCCACGCGGCACCACAATCTGCCTCTTCCATGCCAGCATGTCCAAGTCGCACTGCCTGCCACCACACGCATATCACTTGCTCACTGCAGTGCTGGGATACAGGCCCTTAAGAATGTGCTGTGCTGGCAATGTGTGGGGCACGCCCAGTGTTGGAGATGTAGACGCGCTGTCACTGGTCCACTCTCATCATCCTCTCCTCCACCTCCTCACTGTCCAGTGTCCATCCCCCCTCTGCAGGCCATTGTCTCACATCGCCTCTCCCTTGCGGGCCCATTCTCGCCCTTCGACCCTCTCCAACCTTCGCAGTCCCAGTGTGCTCCCAGTGAGTCGCTCCCACCCTGCTCCATCGCCTTCTTTCCTCACCTTTCTTCACGGCCTGCATGCGCCTGCTACCTTCCCTCATCACAATCCCCCTTTTCACGAGCTCTGCACCTGCACGCTCGGCTCAGCACTGCTGTGATGCAGACTCAGCACTGCTGTGATGCAGACTCAGCACTGCTGTGATGCAGACTCAGCACTGCTGTGATGCAGACTCAGCACTGCTGTGATGCAGACTCAGCACTGCTGTGATGCAGACTCAGCACTGCTGTGATGCAGACTCAGCACTGCTGTGATGCAGACTCAGCACTGCTGTGATGCAGACTCAGCACTGCTGTGATGCAGACTCAGCACTGCTGTGATGCAGACTCAGCACTGCTGTGATGCAGACTCAGCACTGCTGTGATGCAGACTCAGCACTGCTGTGATGCAGACTCAGCACTGCTGTGATGCAGACTCAGCACTGCTGTGATGCAGGCCCTGCCAGGTGGACTTGAAGTGCATGCAATCTCACTCCTCTCACAGCCCTACCTATGTGTTGCCCCCTGCATCACTCACGCATCGCGGCCTGATCACCCTCTGCTATATCTGCAGCTCTGTCCTGCACCGCATGTCACAACCCACACTCTTGTCACTCGTCCCATGTGCACCTCCACTCGCTTCCTAACACCCCCAAACTCTCCCCTACCCGTCCGCCCCTCTTCCGTGTCTCCCATCTCTCTCTTGACAGCGCAACAAGCGCCGCAGCAGCTCTTCTCCGCGTGCTGGATGTGCCCATCGCAAGCAGCGCATGCACACCTGCCCGCACATGCACGGCAGGGGAGCAGAGTGCCTGTGTGCGCCCACAGAGAGCACGCTGCTGCAGACATGCCCCTCACGCACCCTGCCTGCACGCTCTTCCACATCACTCAGGCAAGGCCCGCACGATTAGACTCTTGGTTCTTGTACCGACTGGTTGGCCTGTGGTGTGGTGTGCATTGATTTCATTTCATCCATTGCACATGCAGCGCAATGCACTGGGCTGCGTGCACAAGCCTAGCTGCTGAGCTGTTGTGCCAACAGTGAGGTTCTTCTGCCTTTGCTCTACATGTAGTGCCTTCAACTCTTCACTCTCGCTTCGCCTCGCATGCCCTCTCACCGCGTCACAATGAATGACTCCCCTGTCCCCCTTGCACTGTTGTGCTTGGCATGCAATCCACCATCAGGCTGGCCCATGCTCCCTACCATGACACCTCACTTCATCCGTGTGTGTTCACCTTAGCTGCATGCGGATCCCACTCGCCGGTGTTTATATTTCGCCACCCACTCTGTATTCTATATACTCTGTAAATACAAAAACCAAACCAACAAAAGAAGAAGATTATTGTTGGAAACAAGTAATTTAAGCGCCTCTGTCGTGTCGAAGCACTAAGTCGTAAACGAAGCGAAGTACAGTGAAGCATCGGCGAGTCAAACCCCGGAGGTTGAACAACTGCTGGAGGTTACGCGAAAGTCAAAGGTCAGCGACCTCCTCTAACGGCTCTCCTGGTACTACTACTCCACCTCCTGCCTCTGGCCTACAGACAGAGGAGGGCACAGCAACAAGACCAGCAGCTGGGTCCACCGAAACTCCCGCAAATCAAGCTGCGGGCTTCGGCCCAAGCATGATGGAGAAGTTCTTCTCCTTCATGTCCTTCTACGAACAACACCAGCAAGGGGCACCTGCACAGTCAAACAACAGCAACAACAACAACGATGTGACACCGATCAGCCTCGACGGTTCATCCTACGCGCGAGGAAATCAGCAACAACAACCTACCTTCGCCCCGTACGAACCCCAGCGTGGTTCCATCAGTTTCATGCCGCGCCAGCAGCCTTCACCTGAGCAAGAGAAGACATTGGATGCACTTCAAGTTCAGCTGCAGTTTGCGCACGTCTTAAAACTGCAGACATCAAGACAATTCGACGGAAAATACTTTTTTACCTGGTCGTTCGAATTCGAGCTGATGATGGAAGGCGCGCGGATTCTTGGCTTCTTCGACGGGTCCCTGCCACATCCAACGCACTGGACGCAATACGACAAGCAGCAGTACACATATCAGTCAATGATGGCATATACGATCCTACAGAGGAAGGTAACTCCAAACCAGCAGCAGAACATTCGGTCTTACCGGGGATACGGGAACTCCGCCAACCTCACATACAACCACTTAAAGAACCTGTATCAAGCAACAGACAGCGTTAACCAGAGTCGATTAATGGCACAATTGACAACAGTGGAAATGAAACCGGGCGAAAAGGGGATGGCGTATATCAGTCGATGTCGCGAATTGCGGGACAAACTCCTTCGATGCGGAGGGTCGATATCGGAAGACGCCTTCGTCACAGTTGTCATTGGCGGTCTTGGTCCTCATTGGCGCTCCACTCGCGCCATACTCCGAGCTCACGGGAAGATCTCCGAAGCAGCACTCTGCGCCGAGATTCACGTTGAGCAGCAAGACATGGACCTGCAAGAGGAGCGGCACAAGAAGAAAACGTCAGTACCCGAGTATGCGTTTCACACTCAACGGCGCTACAACAACAACAACAACAACAACAACAACAACAACAACAACAACAACAACAACAACAACAACCGGCATCAACCAAAACCTGTACCTCCGTTCTCTCATCTATGCAAGACTTCAGGGCACCCTCGCACACACTGCCCGAATCGACAGCAGTCAACGCCGCCGCAACGCCAACTTCGTCCTTCAAGCAGTCAAGTGGCGTCCACACAAGCGCACCCCACGAGTCAACTGCAGCCCTCAACGACATCGTCAACACAATCTGCACAAGGAGCAAGAAACATCGTCAGCTGCATGGCAAAATTGACTGACTCCTGCATCACCGAGTCACCACCACACTACTCACCGGAAGAGCAACTCGACAACAGTACCCCTCGTCGCGAGTCACTCCAACCGAACCCAACGTATGCAGCCATCTCTCAAAGCGAGCCGTCCGGGAAAGACACATGGTTCTTGGACAGTTGCTGTGGGCAGCATAAGTGCTCCTTGGGTCGTTTCGTTCAACGCGAACACCAACTTCAGCGCGAAGTCATCATCACCGTCGCCAACAATCAGAACCTGCGCACACATCGATAGGGCGTAGTGCAACTTCAGTCACGAGAGACAAACGTCATACTGCAAATATCAAAGGTTTTAATTGCGGAGGAACTCGGCTACAAATTACTAAGTGTCAGTCAGCTGATGGCGAAAGGTATCCACCTCGAAGCAGACAGCACAACACAGGAATTCAAGCTGTACCACAGGAGAGGAGGCCTCTACATCGGCAAGGCCGTGCTGAAGAACAACGTTTTCGTCCTCGACTTCGTTTCAGATTTAGGCACCGCCGACAGCGACGGAATCGTCACCTTCACCTCCTGGACATGTCCACCGGATCTCGATCCTGACTTCACCCCCGAAGGATTCTGGTATTCGCACACCATCCCTGAGGCAGAACGAACAAGAACATTAGCAACAATTCAATCGGCAGCAGCAGAGACAACATCGGCAGCAGCCGAGACAACATCAGCAGCACCAAAGACAGCATCGGCAGCAGCAGAGACAACATCGGCAGCAGCAGAGACAGCATCGGCACCAATCGCGGGTCCTTCAACTGCACCAGCCTCAATTGACAACGACACTCCACCGACTCCTGCGCAGCAACTGAATCCAACACCACGAGAAGTACATCGAAGCGCAAACCTCACCGCAAGCTTCTACTCCAACTCCGACTTGTACCGTCGCTCACCCGGACATCGACCTGGCGAAGATATCTCGCACGCACGAATGGGACATCCAAGCAACACGGTGTTAAATAACACAATCAGAGCAGGCGTGCTCGACAAAGACTCACTGCTTCTAACCGACGGAAGCGAACTTCGACAAGCTCGCGGAACGTGCTTGACCTGCCTCGAAGCCGACTTACCACATCGGCAGTTCGTTTCTCACCACAACCCGAGCGCACCAGCTAACGCACCACTCGAGAAAGTGTACAGCGACATCCTGTACAATCGCGAACCTGGATAAGGAGCATATAGCTACACCATCACGTTCATCGATGCCGCCACACGCTACGTTTGGCACCTCTGTCAGAACTATATTGTAGGCTGTAGTGGGGTAGACAATATGGGGTACAACTCTTTTAGGTTTTCATACTTGTACCCACCTGCTTGCTAGTTCATTCATTCCTCGTTCTTATTCTCACATGGTATTAGAGCAGAATCGTTCCTAGGGCCCACCGAACGTTCCGCCTTGCCCTAACTGATTTTTTTTCTAGCTGCCCGTGCAGCCGCGCTGCCCTTGCAGCCCGTGTGTTGCCCCTGCGACCGTGTTGCCCTTGCAGCCGTGCCTGCCCCTGCAGCCCGTGGGCGCTGCCCCTGAAGCCGTGCCTGCCTTTGTAGCCCGTGGGAGCTGCCTCTGCACCCGGCGCGCCGCCCTAAACCCTGCTCCTCGCGACGCCCCCGGGGCGTTGTCCCTGCTCGTCGCGACGCCCCCGGGGCGTCGCCCCTGCTCGTCGCGGCGCCCCCTGGGCGTCGTCCCTACTCGTCGCGACGCCCCCGGGGCGCTGTCCCTGCTCGTCGCGTCGCCCCCGAGGCGTCGTCCCTGCTCGTCGCCGCGCCCCCTGGGCGCCGTTCCTGCTCGTCGCGGCGCCCCCGGGGCGTCGCCCCTGCTCGTCGCGGCGCCCCCTGGGCGCCTTCCCTGCTCGTCGCGGCGCCCCCGGGGCGCCGTAACTGCTCGTCGCGGCGCCCCCGGGGCGTCGCCCCTGCTCGTCGCGGCGCCCCCTGGGCGCCGTCCCTGCTCGTCACGGTGCCCCCAGGGCGTCGCCCCTACTCGTCGCGGCGGCCCCTGCGGCAGCTGCCTTGGAGACCCACCCTGCAGCATCTGCCGCGGAGCCCCCTGCCGCCGTCGCGGCCCCGCCATGCAGCAGCTGCTGCGGAGCCGCCTGCAGCAGTCGCGGCCCCGCCCTGCAGCAGCTGCCGCGGAGCCCCTTGCCGCCGTCGCGGCCCCGCCCTGCTACAGCTGCCGCGGAGCCGCTTGCAGCAGTCGCGGCCCCACCTTGCAGCAGCTGCCGCGGAGCCCCCTGCCGCTATCGCGGCCCCGCCGTGCAGCTGTCCCGGTCCCGCCGTCGTCGTCGTTGTGCGCCTACCCTGCTCGCCTGGCAAGCGACTGCCCTTCCCACCACTGGTGAGCACTTGCCCTACCCGCGCGCCTGCCTTACTAGCGCGCTGCCGCGCTGGCCTGCCTGCCTGCCTGCCGCGCCTGCCTGCCAGCCGAGCCGCGCCGCCTAGCTGAGCCGAGCCGCCTTGCGGCGCCAAACTGCCCAGCCGAGCCGTATCGTGCTGCCGGGCTATGCAGCCCTGCTCTACTGACCCACACTGCCCTGCTCGTGCTGCTACTGCTGTTTCTGCCGCTACTGCAGCTGCAACTGCTACTACTGCTACTGCTGCTCCTGGCGGTGGCTAGATGCAGCTCCAGCGACGTCCGCGTGAGTCCCTCGCGCCCCAGCAGCTTCGTGAGTGGTACGCTAGTTGGGGTTGTAGTGGTGGCCGCGCTGTTACTGGTGCTACTGGTGTTAATGCTATTACTGCTGCTACTGCTGCTATTGCTGTTACTGCTGCTACTGCTGCTCCTGGCGGTGGCTAGATGCAGCTCCAACGACATCCGCGTGAGTCCCTCACGCCCCAGCAGCTTCGTGAGGGGTACGCTAGTTGGGGTTGTAGGGGTGGCCGTGATGGGAGTCGCCCTGAGGCGGGTCGTTCGGGAGCTTCTTGTAGCGACCAAGTGCAGCAACTTGTGTGGTACGCTCAGAGTAGAGGGTCACGGAGTACTGCTCGCTTCCCGTACGTCATTCGCACTGGTGCTCGGGCTGGTCAGCCTTGTGGGACGGTT